ATCGAAACAGACTGAAAATATTCAACTTTTTTGGGGAAAGGAGCAAATAACACACTCAAAAGTCAGGTTTCCATATAATAAGCCCATTACTGTCTAAAAGCATAAACAAATGCAATCTAAATGAAGTGGCAAACTAATATAAAAAGGCAGTTCTACCTCTACTAGAGCAGCTTCTTTTCGATGAAAAGATCCCACGATAGAGGGGGATACACCAACCTCCCTCGCACCTGCAATCATGGCTGCTTCAGTCCAACCCAACCTAGTCTACAGATCATCACAAATTAGCCAACCAAATAGCACATCAAATGAACACATTCTGAAGTTGATGTACATGACATTTAACGTCAAGGAATCAAATTAGACCACCATGTTTTTTGATAGGTTGTTCGATTTTGATCCATTTTTCAAACATGCAGGCAATGAAATTGGTCTTACATAGAAGGATTTCATAGTTTCACTGAAATTATCTAAATCACACCACTATGGCAGGATTATTCCAAATCAGAACATCTTGTGCTAGCAAAACATGAAGCAAACACAATGTACTGATTCAACTAACTTGGGCTCATTTATCCTCAGCAGTCTACTAATTGTACAGTGAGCTTGATATTATTTTGGAAAAGAGACTAAATTCAGCAAAAATTACCTTCACGGAAAGCATAATTTGCAAAATGCTGGATAAATCACAGTACACAATCATAAATAGTGAGTAATACATGAACTAGTGGCTGGTGATCTACCCTAGAAAGAAAAGTGATGGGAGGTGAATCGGCACGCCTATCAGTCAACAACATGTGGACGAGAATGGGTACCACCGAGAGTACCCAACCCCTTGGTGGACCAAATCGAGGCAGACCATCAGACTGAACCCCCTCAAACTTTCTTGAGACTATTTGCAAAACCCTGGGGGACGTCTTACCCCAAGCCCGACCAGTAATGGTGCTCCAACAAAAGGGCCCAATAACACAACCAGTAGCAAGAGATGATTAGGTGCGCGGTTACATCTACATGGGGACCTCACCAAATCCCGTGAATGCCAAGTAAAGGCATGTCCCTTGCTTACATGGACTAGTCCGGAGGTGTCCCGGGGTGCATCAGTTAATGCTCGGTGTTCACAGGCAAACGTAATTTTTTTTTTTTTGGAACAGGCAAAAGTCGTTGAATGTCCGGACAGTACTCACTAAATGCTTGGTCTCCCGACTGAGGTAATCATTGTGGCATGTGACCCCGAGTGGCCGCCTTCCCTAAGGCTAAGCCTAGTAAATGTGCGGCTCGAGGGTAGGGGTAACTACTGACATGTCATCCTTACATGTTTTAGGCCGGCTAGCTTGATGTCATCCTCTGGATTTCACGTCCTCATCCCTCAAGATACAGACAGACCAAAAAATTGGGTCCAAGGTACACACACAACACTCAACTTGTTGTGTATTACTCATATTTGCTCATTTGAATGCCAACTGACTCGAGCATAGGAAGGGATGAGCCGGATACACATCCGTCCCCTTCAAGTTCAGTCAGGTGTCACTATCTCAACAATTGAACAAAAATCGCCGATGCAAAAAGTATGAATAAAAAGTATTGGCAGGAATTTGGATTCCCACTAGGATATTTTTTCCAGTGACTGTGTTCCTAAAACGCAAGCAATTTCTCTTTTTCTTTTTTTGATTCAAAAGCCGGGGATAGCAGTTCAGCCAGAACTCAGAAATTCGCAATCATAAACTCGCAATAAATCTTGAATTAGAGTAATAGAAACAGAGCTAAGTCAATACAGACCACATGGCGAAGAGAGGCGTGGAGTACACGAGCTTGTTCGTCTTGGTATTGAGCTTTATGCCGTGTTCCCTTCGAGGACTGGCTCTCGTGGCCACGAGCCCTTTCTTCTTCTCCCCATGCCGATGATGATGATGATGATGAACCAAACTGATTAGGGCTTTGGCTAGGGAACGTCTCAGATGTAGCCGAAGTTGAAAATCGAGGTCGGTTCACAACAAGGGTTCGAAAATGAGGGATTTGGGAAGGCCCGTAACGGCACAAGGACGGAATGCTAAGCAATCGCTTCACCGCCATTCGATACATGGCTGACGACACTCCTCAAATTTTCACACACAAACGCAGAGATTCGTTTAGTTTTCTTGAGAGATCGAATCAAGCATTGATTTCTAATTCCACGTATCTGTATGTTGGTTGGTGCGGCCACTTGTCAGGTAATAGCGCCACGAATAATTGTTTTGCCAACCGCGGGGGGCAAAACCTGCGATTCTAAGATCCAAAGGAAGCGTGGTAAATAGGGTTGAATTGAACCGAATTCCATTCACTTGTATTTAAATTTTTAAACTCAGGCTATATTATCTATGTAAAAATCCAAGTTTAATTTTTTCTTCAACCTAGTTCGAATTTGATTCAATTCTATTTGCTTTAAGTATTACATTTTTGGAGTTGGGATTGACTTGCTTATTCTATTCTTATGTTTAGTGAGTGACTATCAATAATCTAATAAAAAAATTAGTGTATATTTCACGTTTACTTTTATGAATAAACGTAATTTTGGGAAGATGTCTTGATTTAACAATGAAGTTTATTTTAAGAAGAAACATGTTTAAGAACTAGTTATTTTTCGTGCCTGAAGGTACGGAGTAATAACAAAATTGGTCAACAATAAATATATTTGTATTCACACTCAAAATTAAATCACAAACATATAGGAGAGAAAAAAGAATTTAAACACCTATTATAATGAGGATGAGCGGTAATAATAATGATGGGAGACGATAATGATTGTGGTAGCTGGCGACGATCGTGGTGATGGTGGATTTTGGGAGATAATGGTGGTAGTGACAGTCGTAAGTGACGACGATGGTGATAAGTGTGGGTGGTGGTGTACAACAATAATGGTAGTTGACAGTGACGGTAGTGAGGCGATAACAGTGATAGCGGACAGTATAATGGTGGTGGTGAGCGACAATACAATGAGTGCTTCTAGGCGACAATGAGATGAGTGGTGACAAATGGTGGCAGTAGTGGTGATGGTAGTAAGTGTGGTGGGAGTGGGTGGTTGTAATGGTGGGTGATGACGGGGGGTGGTGATAAGTGTGATGGGGGTGGGTGACAATAGCTGGTGGTGATAAGTGCTGACAGTGGGTGACGATGGTAATGGGATGATGATAGTAATGATAATAAATATAAGAATAAGATGACGATAGTGGTCGATGGTGGTGGCGGCGGTGGACAATAGTGGTCGGTGTTGGCGGTGGTAGCAATCAGTGGTGGTGGTGGGACAATGGGGGTAGTGGCGACGACAACAATAGTGGCGGTGATGATGGCAATTGTGATGGTCGTGGGGGTAGTGGTGGGGCGGTGAGGGTGGAACAATGGTGATGAGGGTGGTAATAGTGGGAACGATGGTGGTGGGGCGGTGAAAGTGGTGATGGTGGAGGTGGTGGTGGTACAGTGGTGGGGGTAGTTATGGTGGTGGTAGTGGAGGTGGTTGTAGGGCAATTTCAAATACTATTTTTTTTTAAGTACTTATCAAAAATAAATTTTAAAAATACTTTTAAAGAGTCACGTCAAACACACTTTTAGGGGTCTATTTTTTCTATTAAATTTTGGGTGTTAATATTAACCATCGAATTAATTTTAAAATAAAATTTAAAGAGATCTCAACTACAAAAAGTATAAGTCATTTTGTTTATCTTTTGAATTTTGAATTGTATTGTACTTTATTATATAAATTTTTATTTTTTTTCTACATACCCAATGTGAGTATGAATATGAGTATAACATAGGTCTAAGATATTGACTAACTGTCAAAATCTTTCAAATTATTTCGTAATAAGTAATGCTATTGGGACTTAATTTGTTGACATAATTCACTATGACCTTTAGATTAATTGTGGACTTCATCAAACATTAGAACTTGGTATTTATCCAATTATTCTAATAAAACTACATCATTAGGTCAATAAATAATATCAAATTTTTAAATTCAAATAACATTTTTCTTTCGTAATAAAATTCTCACTCCTAGCCAAGATGGTCGGCATTCAAATGGGACCATAATCTTTGTAGCGGTAATATATAAGTTGGCTCTTGGTAATTGTATGCGACACTTTAATGTAACTTGTGCACTTGTGTCAAGAATTTGTTGGTCAAAACCAATTCATTTACTTGCCAACATACTAAATAAACTGTACAAGGAATTTGTTCGAGAGAACTCCAAAATCAACAATATATACGAGGGAAACCCATTGTGTAAATGAAAAAGAGAACGTGATTTCTTTAAGAAATGCCAAAATAGTTGTTTATTGTAAGGGGTAGAAATCGCTACGGGATTTCAGCCTTCTACTCGAAGGATTTTAGCTGACTTGATGGCACTAAGTCTCAGTAGTCTTTACCTCTCTTCGCCAATATGACCCTTTCCTAAGACAATCCTACATCGGAAGATAGTTGTCTCTCCCCTGCCATATAAGTGAATATTTAATATGAAAGAGGTACCCACTAACCACTTGATCAAGTGAATTGTCTTAGGAAAGAGTTCTATTGACAAAGAGAGGTAAAGGCTATTGGAATTCGGTGCCGTCAAGTCAGCCGGAATCTTTCGAGTAGAGTTCTATAGAAATCACGCGTTCGGATCTCATCCCTGCACCCTTTCCTAAGGCAATACAATAGCCTTTACCTCCATCCCACATCGGGTAACTCTGTAGCCTTTACCTCCATCCCACAATCCCTGAACACCTGGCCTGCACCCTTTCCTAAGGCAATACAATAGCCTTTACCTCCATCCCACATCGGGTAACTCTGTATTGCCTTAGGAAATGATGCAGGCCAGTCAGAATTCTTGGTATTCAGGGATGAGTTTTAGGAAAGGGTGCAGGCCAGCCAAAATTCTTGGTGACTCATATGTTCTTCAAAGTGCATATGTATACTGGGGTCCAAGTTCAATCCATCCTCGGCTGTTCGATTTCCGATGTTTCCTTTTTCCTATCCTAAGAAAAGAGAATGTGGTTTCTTTTATGAAATGTCAAAATAGTTGTTTTTTGGGCAGTTATGGAGTACTGTCAATTTGACAAAACTATCACCATTCTGACTAATCTTTGATGCTCTATTGTGTGGTTCTTTCGACAGGAAATCTTGACATATACACCATGCTTGTTTGAAGCATCTCAGCCTAAGGAGGAGCCACTTGTGAACTAAATCTATCCTTTTGTAATTGACTCAATTAAGCTTTTATCTCTTCTACTCTCCTGATAGCTTCCTTCATGTCGATCCGTTTATCATGATCACTTTCAGTGCAAGCAGCCCCAATATGCAGGGTCTTCTCCATCTGTTCAATTGAATCTGTGGCGGCTGCTATCTCAGGATCAATCAATTCTGATTCTCTCTTCTCGGAAATCGCTGATCGTACCCATTGCACCACATCAGTCCCACCCTTTTGGTTGTTGAGATACTGAGATGGAAATTTCCCTGTCAGGAGTTCGAGAACAATGATTCCAAAACAGAAGACATCACTTTTCGGAGAAAGTTGCTGGTATAGTATGGCTTCTGGGGATTTAAAGGCAAACAATGATTGCACACTTTGGGTGTTGTTTATTAGTGGATGGAATGCATAGTCATTGAGAAGTGGCTCATAATTTGAGTCAAGGAGAACATTGCTAGACTTGAGATTTCCATGTGGTAGTTCATATGATGCAAACTCCGAATGAAGGAACCCCATTCCCCTGGCAACTCCCTGGATAATCTTCAGCCGCGTCTGCCAATTTAGCTCAGCATGAGAAATCCCACGATCACCTGAAAGATAACAATTATTGGACCATGGCGGGTCTAACAAATCACTTGTACCCAGTATCAAGCTAATGATCGTGAATAAAGTCAACAAATTACATGAATAAGTTAGATTGACGCATGAGCAAATTTGATAATATACCATACCATGCAAGATATACAACAAGCTGCCTTTAGGAACATAGGAAGACACCAAGAGCTTCTCTTCTTTCCTGTAATGGTATGCTAATGGTGTCAAAATATTCCTATGCTTTAGTCTCCCAAGCCGCCTCATCTCCGAATCAAACGTATCATTACTCAATTTATTCATCTCTCTCAACCTCTTCACCACCACAGACACCCCATTTGCCATCATGGCCTTGTATGCAGAACCCAACCCACCATTTCCAAGCACCTCCGCCGCGGCTTTCATTAAATCCGGCAATCCAAATATACCCTTTTCTTCGTTCATCACCACAAGATCACTGCCGCCGCTGGACTTAGCGTGGTGAAAGCCTCTCCGAGACGAGCGGGAGCGGGTTGAATCATTATTACCTTTCTGGCTAGCGCTCATGCTCCTTCTGTTGGTACTTGGTATGTGCACTTGAACAACCTCGTCAAGGTTTTCTTTTCCCAGCATGTTGAAGTTATCTTCTTTACGCTTGGTCTTGAAAGCTAGTGTTAACAACAAAACTGCAACCACTAGACCTAGTATAACCCACTTCGCATTTGAAGAGTTTTCCGATTCCTCGGGCTTGTTTTCAGATGGCGATAATAACTCTTTCTTATCACAATCCTGTCCTACCTTTTCCCCACACAGACCCGGATTTTCCTTGAATGAATCTGCACTGAATCTTGACAAACTTGAGGGGATTTCACCTTCCAATTTGTTGTGTGACAGATCGAATGAAGTTAAAGATGGTTGTTCCATTGATGGAATGGGTCCTGAGAATTCATTGTAATTAAGGTGCAATTCAATGAGATGGGGTATTTTTCCTATTGACTCTGGAATTTTCCCAGAAAACTTGTTTCCTGAAAGCCAAATCTTCTTCAAAGATCTCAAGTTGGAGAAGAAATCCGAAGGAATTTCCCCGGAAAACTGATTTCTTGATAGATAAATAGCCCTCAAAGAACCAAGATGACTAAAATCTGGCATTGGACCCGTAAAAGAGTTGTTTTCGAGACTAATAATCCTAATGCTTCCCATGTCATTTAACGAGTCGACGTCGAACTCTCCGGCGAGACCAAAATTGGCAAGATTGAGGTTTGTGATAACGCCATTGAAACAAATAACACCAGCCCATCCTTCGTTTCTGTCGCAAGGGTCAGTACCTTGTTTCCAAGAATCAAGAGCTGTGGCGTTGGTGAATGATTGTTTGAGTTCGAGAAGGGCCATGTCGTTGGGTATGGAATTGAGTACGGAGAGAGAAAGAGGAGAGAGAGACAGGGATATGAAGAAGAGGAGGAGGAGGCGAACAGCGGCCATGTTGGTTAGCCGGAAACCAGACACCTCCGGGTAGAACATTGCCGCTGTTCGGAGAGATTAGGATTCTCTGAATCTTTCGTAGGGAGGTGGTTTGTTCCGTTTTGTTTATTTTGGGTTTGGAATGGTGTGTCATGGTGGTGCTGTGAGTTGGGAAACATTGGTGATGGAGCTGGCAACTCCATATACCATGAGTCTAAGAATAGATACAGATTTTGGGGTTAGGGAGGAGAGAGAGGGGCACCCTTGCATTGACTCTGTCAGCGTCACAAGAGCCTTTACCGGCGTAAACATGGTAAATTTGAAGTGGCATAAAGGGCTTTTTCTAGGAATGATTTACAAATTATATATCAATTAAGTTCAAGAAATGCGGTTTTAGGATATGGGTCGTCATGATTTTGAGAAATGTTACTTTCACATTAATCTTAGACCTAGGACCTAAACATAAATGCTGAAATCCACGACATGACGATGTTGTATTTAACTGGTGAGAACATGTCCAAAAAAAACCAATGTAATTGACAGCATTAAAAATCTAAAGTCGTTGCTTATTTTGAGATAGCGAGTCAGCTTGTTCTGAGATGGCGAGGACAACCAATGTCTCCAAATGTGGGTGTCATGGCAACTATACTTGATGGTTGTGAGAGCCTCCTACCACATGTTTTTGTTTATTGATGGCATCTGCATGCCAATTGTAGTGAGCCTCATCCAGCCTTCTAGCCACAGCATCACTGTGATGTGAAGGCCTGCCAACAAGAGAAGAAACAACATTTTGATCACTCAATTCCATGGTATGTGGAAGCTGTTCCAGTTTTAAAAACTCTGCAATTCGACAAATTCACCATTACCTTTATGGTAGTACAGAAGAATAATATTGTTTGGATCCTTATTTTATAGTATCTAATTCATTGATCTATCATTCACATTGATTGAGATCAACACAGAGAGAAAGTACGAACCTTTGATATCTCTTTTACTACTGTACATTTATATCTAGTATAGTAGTTGTAATTTGCACGAAGATAAGGGTGGGCGTACCGAAAATATGTTGCAGTGGCCAGGATCAGCAATGTGAGCCATCAAGTTCTCAACGGGCCCTTGTCCAGTATAAACTGCTTGGAAACAAAAGCCAACAAAAGCTAGCATAGCAAGCCGCCCATTCTTGATCTCCTTGGTCCTCAACACCATCACAGGTTCTGGGGACCCTCTTCCCCACATCAGGGGATCAAACCATATGCCACCAGGATAACCAACATCAGGCTTTGGTTTTTGCTTATGTGGTAATGAAGGTTCAACGTCGACGCACCCGGGGTTGATCATATCAGCCCATCTCCGACCCTCGACCCAACCCATCAGGGCTAATTGCACCACAAATAAGGTTGTTGGGTCTGCAAAGTATTGTCTGGCACCAGCATCATACCAAGAGAAGTTGTCAATGAAGCCTAGGCTTTCAAGCCATTCTGGAATTAGAATTCCCGCAACCGCAAGCATTGCCCATCTGCCATGGATTAGCTCAGCTTGTGCAAACCATTTCAGTGATTCTGGATCAGACCCTGCAATAATAATAATCATTCTTGTTTAAATAGAGATGTGAACTTCCTCAATTCTGGATAAGAATCGAATAGATTACCTAATCCCAGCGGATCGAAGCCAAAATCTCCTGGAAGACTACAAAAAAGAGGTTTTTTTGTAAGAAAATCATGTCAATATTATTAAGCAATTTGAAATATAAATTCAAGTAACATTACTCGATAAGAGTGTCACATGGACGAGTTGAGTTGACTGTGGACAGACCAATAAAGGATTAAATAATCTAACTCTAACTCTAACTCATTTTTAACACCTTTAGTTTTAACGAGTTGAGTCATAATTCCAAATCCATCCAACCATCCATACTTATTGGTGTGCAAATTTTGGAAAATGTAGCAGGAACAAGTGTATGAGATTAGTGGATTCGTGTTATGTGGAATTCATGGTTCCACATTGGATTTTATTGATTCCAGCAAGTTACCTGCCATCAAGCCACTCAGGAGGTGAACTGCCAGGGAACCACAGTGGCCTATCCGGCGGAAGCGGTTCACAAATACTTGATACCCCTTTTGTTGCATTCAAACGAGTTTTCCCCAGTAAGCATGTAGGTAATTTTCCTGGCTGGGATTTTCTTGCTATTTCCCTTTCACCAAACAAAAACACTTGAAATCAACAGCAATCGAAATCAGAACTACATTGAAATTTGAAAGATTTCGTTGAATTGTTTATTTAAAATTTTTGCGAAAAGCTAATCGTAGGTTGGGCCAACGGAAATATAATGAAGGTATATCTTTTTTATCATGTTGAATTGATCTTTTGAAGAAGAATTATGCCAAAAATTGTAATACATTTTTGTGAAAATAAAACTTACATGGAAGAAAGGAAATTAAAGGCTTTCATAAAAATTCTCGTAGAATCAAGAATGAAGTAGCTATGCAACAAAAAAAATGGGGTTGTATGCAAACTACTAAAGCAAGAACAGTGGAAGCTGAGAGTGGCTCTTGAGACCTGGTTGGAAGGCTTGAAAGCGCAGTGGAAGCAATGGCTAGCGCCATGGATGACAGGGTTGTACTTGTTGCAGAGTTTAACAAGTCTAGTAATTTGTGAGGTTGGCTGGCTCTGCCATGTGGCTTATCATCCACGCAGGAAGTGGATGACAAAAACGATTGAACGATTGGGCAAAAAGAAATTCAATTGGGCTTTTGTTGTATCTGAAGGTTAAGTTCTAGGACCGCCCTTGAAAGATTGTACCCATTTGTTAGTGGGCTCTTGTTCAATGAAGCCTAGACCTATACAAACTACATTCCCTCTACCAAAATTTTGAATAAATATTAGCAAGACACCATGAGTTTTACGCGTAAATAATTTTTTTATACATAAATTAATAAAATATATTAGATATACGTATATCTAAATTAAATATTGTCTTAAATTTTCAAACTTAATTTTTTATTACTCATATTTTATTATAGGATTATAAAAACTTTATATGTACCGAAAACTCTATATTCTAACTATAAGAAAAAAGATTAAAAAAAATCTCTAAATTTTTTATTTATTTTTTTTTAGAATTTTATAATTGAGATTGATTTTTAGTGATGTTTAAGAAACTAAATTTTTTGAAATTCGTTTTATTATATTCTACTTATAATTTCTTGAATAATAAAAATAATTGTCAATATACTAATTATATTAAAACTTATAAATTGGTTATGTGAATTAGAATAAGATTTAATATACTGCTATAAAAAATCAAAAAATTTAAAGTTTTATTCAAAAATTTTAAAAACAATTCAAATTCTGCAATATTGAAATTCTAAAAAATTCAAATTTTATTTAAAAATACACTACAATATCTATTTTCACATAAAATCTTAATATAACTTAAAAATTTTATTGTGACGAATAATTATATTGATGTAACTTAATTTGATTTTAAAAAATTATATATACAATTATTTTTTATATTATAAATGAAATAGTTAAACTTTTTGATGAAAAATAAATTATACATATGTAAGCATAATGTAATCTTTACATATGAAATGAGTAATATTAGATTGATGGAATTTTGAAGGTTTTTTGAACACTTTAGTGAAAATATAATGATGCATATTTTTTTAAAGGAAACATAGATAATCAAAAAGTTTTATAAAAATTAATATATATACATAGAGAATAGATAATTAAAAAAGATATTAGAGATAATTTGTATATTTAAATACATAAGGATATAATGATAATTTATATATTTAATTGTGAAATGATAAACTGATTTTTACAATTATTGATAAGAATAAAATAAAGATTCAAAAAATTTTCATGTTAAGGTACTTTTATTAGCAGTATAGATAAAATTATTAAACAACCATCTACTCAACCCTTATGAGTGGCACAGTGGTTAAGTTTGTCTTCTTGCAAGTAAAGGTCTTAGATTAAATACTTCACACACCTCCTAAGCGTGTGCTATCTTTGTTCCTTAGGAAATATGTTTTTTAAATTAGCTCGAATTACGGTGATTGACTCAGAGTTCGAGGGTTTAGTCAGTCCAAACTTGAACACTTTTATTTAGGGTGGTGGTAGCACGATAAGAGCTCCTTAATAATTAGGGTAGCGGTGAGATTTGAACACAAGACCTCTTACTCCGATAAATTGTTAAACAATCATTTACTCCAAAAATTTAAACTATTAGAGATGATGTAATTTCAGTATTTATACATCAATAATATTTAGTTCAACAATGACACTATGTTATTATGGTCATGTGGTGTCACCATCTAATAAAAAATAATCAAATAATCAATGTAAACCCTATCTATATAATAAAGTACAATATAATTCAAATTTTAAAAGATAAATAAAATAATTTTTGCTTTTTGCGCTTAAGATTTCTTTAAAGTTAATCTGATGGTTAATATTAACACCCCAAATTTAATAGAAAAAATAGACTCATAAAAATGTGTTTAAGGTAACTTTTTAAAAGTACTTCTAGAATTTATAATTTTTTATAAATACTTTAAAAAAAATAATATTTAGAACTACCCCTCCACCACCCCACCACCACTATCACCACCACCAATAACACTACCGTCATCACACCACCACCATAATTTCAACAACCACCACCACTACCATTCTTGCCACAAAACCCCAACCAACCATCACCACTACCATCATTCCTATCGCCCCGCCATTACCATCATCACCACTACCACTACCTTACCACTCTCACCCCCATCGCTCCACCCCCCACCACCACCTCTTCTGCAACAACCATCACCTCCATTGTTGCCGCCACCACCACCACCCCATATCTACCCCACCACCACCACTGTCGCCTATCATCGTTACCATCGCTCGCCTCAATTATAACCAATGCTTAAATTCCTTTCTCTCTCATCTATCTTTGTAATTTAATTTTTTGTGTAAATACAAATATATTTATTATTGATCATTTTTTTTATTACTTCATACATTCAAGTACAAGAAATAACTAGTTATTCTACATTGGGTGGTTGTCATATTACATAGAAGGATAGTTATTAGTTTGGGTAAATTTCACTAACACCATCTAGATTTAAGTCATATTTAACTGACACCTTCTCTAATTTTTTGAAATATCACTGCACATCTGTAGTTTTTTTTTTTTAATAATTAAAAAAAAAAGCGTCCAGAGACCACCTTGATAAACCCTCACTTGTGAGAGACCCCTAACTGTGTCTATTACACCTCTCAGGAACAAACATAATTAGGCTAGTATAACGGTCAACCACTGAACCCAAATGTGAACTCCAAAACTCAAATTTTTCAACCTCAAAGTGAGAAGTTCAATTGGTACCCCACTAGACCACCCTACTCAGTGCCCTATAGTTTATATATACATTTCACAAACTATCCTTGTCGTTACTAATAAGCAAAAAAGGTGTGATATGAATTTATCCTTAGCCATATAAAACAAGATTAAAACAGTAGAAAACATCCTTATAGCATTAATTTGACTAAATTAAACAAAATATTTCCTATGAAAAAAATGGATTCAAAAAAATGTTAATTTGTTGTTTATTATAAAAAATAATATTAATTTGATAAAACTAAATATTAAATTCACAAAATTGAATGTTAATTTTATAAAATTGAACGACCATTTAGTATATTATTTTGATGAAATTAAATGTTAATTTTTAAAATTCAATCCAAAAATGATGTCAATTTGATAAATTTGATGTTAAACTGATGAAATTAAATGTTGATTTGGGGTTAATTTGATGAAATTAAATATTAATTTGGTGTTAATTTTATAAAATTGAATATCTATTTGATGAGATTGAATATAAGTTTGCTAAAATAAAATGATATTTTATAAAATTTAAGAATAATTTCACATTAATTTGTAAAATCTTGTATTAGTTTGATGAAATTTAATGTTAATTTGATAAAATTGGTAGTTAATTTGTTGTTAATTAGATCAAATTGAATATTAATTTGGTAGTTAATTAAATGAAGTTTAATGTCATTTTAATGAAATTAAATTTAATTTGGTGAAAATTTTATGAAATTAAATATCAATTTGGCATTAGTTTAATAAAACTAAATGTTAATTGGATGAATTGAATTATAATTTGATGAATGTGGATGTTAATTTGACAAAATTTAATGTTAATTTGTTGCTAATTTGATGAAATTTAATATTAATTTGGTGTTAATTTGATAAAATTAAATAATAATTGGATAAAATTGAATTTTAATCAAAAAGAATTAAAGGTCAATTTAAAATTAATTTGATAAAAGTTATAGATTAATTTTGTACTAATTTGAGTAAGTATAATTAAGTAAAATAAGAGTTCTAGCAAGGGTAGTTAAGAAAAACCCCCTTCCATAGGTTTGTTATTTGAAAAAAACTGATGGGTGTTTGCAATGATATTTCAAAATTCATAGGGGGTGTTAGTAAAATATGATTTAAATCCAAGGCATGTCAATAAAATTTATCCTTATTAATTTTGGTGGGATTCGTTTGATAACTTATCATTTTCTTATTGATCTTTGATATCATATGATTATTGATAAGACACAAAATGTGTTTATGTACCACCTATCAAGTATTAAATACGAAAACAAATAAGAAGTGACAATGCAATTTAAGTTATTCGATCAAGGTGATCTACTCTACCATAAAAGGCTTTAATAGCCTAAGTATTTTATTACTCAAAGGATGTGGAGTGCTCAGATATGATAGATGCCCCTTGTGTAGGTGGAGTTTACAATTTGTAGACAACCCCTAACAAATTGATGTGTCATCCTTGTAACAAGTGAGGTAATTCAGTGGAAGTGACGTCATTCTCGTAATAGGCGAGACAGTTTCGTAGAAGTGGTGACGTGCGTGTCCTTCAGAGATATCCTTGCGCGTCAATTGTAGATTAAGTCTCCCAAAATAGTGCGGCTCACCTTACACTCTCAAGATAGTGCGATTAACCTGACATAACTTCCTCTATCTTGTGGAGGCTTAATCTATATATTTGAGGTGGATCGAATTTATAATTTTAGACTTGGTCCGCATCGGGTGCATCAATGGTACTATTATATTACATTACATTGAATATTACGAAGAAGTAGTCTGAATCTATTATTCCCTCCGTTTCTAAATATCTGTCGTTTGAAATTTTTGCACAGGGATTAAGGAAGCTATTAAATAGCTGTAATATGAGTAAAAAATAATTACACAAGACTAAAATACTCTTATTCAATATGTATTGGAAAGAAAAAAATATAAAAGACACTTAGCCTCCACCTAATCTAATGCATTAAAAAGTTAAGGGTAAATTTAGAAAAAAAAATATTAATTATGTTTTTGTTTCATAAAACGACAGATATTATGGAACAAAAAAAATTATGTAAAACGACAAGAGTATAAAATAACTAAAACCCAAACACAAGATGAGTCTTTGGTCTGAAGATTTGAAGACTAGTACCACAACCTCTATTACAAAAGCAAACAGCGGGGGAAAATTTTAGAAAATGATAAATTTCATCTCACTCACCATCAATGTCACCACGATGCAAATGTAATCACATAACTATGTAATCAATATCCAAAATGGAATTTGCCCAGAAACTATGAACAAACCGTTTCAATTGTTCACAGTTAAATGAAAA